CATGTACTCTGAGAAACTACTTTGAAGGTGACAATATGCAATGTATTAACAATTGTTACACTCCTATTATTTTGTTATGAAATTCCGTTTATTCAATAAAATAAAAAAAAATTTAAAAGAATGCAGCAGAAGAGGACTTAAATAATCAAGTGGATAAGATGACTTGTTCTATACATAGCAGTCAACCTCTTTCTTCAGCCACCCTGTCATTGCCCAATGGGCTCATAAACAGAGTGACCATGGTGGCAGAGATGGAGGTTATGCATGGGCTCAGCAACACGGACTCCAACTCACCAAGGCACCAAGGCTGGACTAGTTACATCCACTGCTGAATGGTCAATATGCCAGCAGCAAAGACAACACTGAGTCCCCTGATGTGGCACCATTCCCCCTGGCTGATCAGCCTGTTACCTGGTGGCAGGTTTATTATATTAGACCACTTCCGTCATGGAAAGAACTGTGCTTTGCCCTTAGTCACAGAAATACATATTCTGGATATGGATTTGCCTTCCCTGTGTATAATGCTTCTGCCAAAACTACCATCTGTGGACCCAGAATGCATTATCCACCATCATGGAATTCCACACAGCATTACCTCTGACCAAGAAACAAATTTTATGGCCAAAGAAATGAGGTAGTGTGCTCATGCTCATAGAATTTAATTTTACCATGTTCTTCACCATCCAGAAGCAACTAGATTGATAGAAAGGTGGAATGGTCTTTTGAAGACCGAGTTATAATACCAGCTAGATGGCAATATGTAGCTTGCAGGGCTAGGTTCTTCACAGGCTGTATATGCTTTGAATCAACATCTACTATATGGTCCTGTGTCTCCCATAGTCATAATTCATAAGTCCAAGAACCATGGGGCAGAAGCGGAAGTTGTACCAATCACCATTACCACCAGTGACCCACTAACAAAAGTTTGCTTCCTGTGCCTTTGACCTTATGCTGTGTGCTTATCAGGTATTTTTTGGCTTAGAAGTGTTAGTTCTAGAGAGGGGCAGGCTGGTACCAGGAAGCACAATGATTCCATTGAACTGGAAGCTGAGACTTCCTGCTGGTCATTTTGGTCTCCTCATATCTCTGAGGAAACAAAATAAAAAGGGAGCCACAGTGTTGGCAAGGGTCAGGTACCCTGACTATGAAGGGGAAATTGGGCTATTACTCCTCATTGGAGTTAAGGAAGAATATGATTGAATTGCAAAGGATGCTTTAAGGGACCTCCTTGTTATACCATGCCCTGATATTAAAGTTACTTGGGCTATTACTCCTCAATGGAGTTAAGGAAGAATATGATTGAAGTGCAAAGGATGCTTTAAGGGACCTCCTTGTTATACCATGCCCTGATATTAAAGTCAGTAGGAAACTACAACAAGCCAATCCAGGGAGAATGACAAATGGTCCAGAAACTTCAGGTCCAGGAATGAAGGTATGGGTTTCCCCACCAGGGAAAGAACTAAGAACTGCTGAGGCACTTGCTGAATGCCAAGGGAATTCAAGATGCGTAGTAGAAGTTAGTTTTAAATACCAGCTACAACCCTGTGATCAGCTACAGAAACAACTGTAATAGTAATAGATTTTTCCTAGTATGCTTCCAGTGTAATATGTTGACAGACTTACTACCGGTTCTTTAGTTTTGTTAAGCCTGATATAATGTTCAATTTATGAAATGTTAAGAATAAGCATTACCCAAAAAAACTTATCTTCTGTGGAGGGAATATGTTTCCTTTTCTACACAGGATAGTTATGACATGTTATGTGTGATTATAAACTTCTATTTATTATCTGCAGACTATGGTTTAAAGGAATGTGTGGATGACAAGAGGTGGATTGTGGTGATTGAAAGATTGTGCCAACTTGAGTAAGAAATGCCCAACTACATTGGCTCCGCATAGTTCTGGGTGTGGAAAACGCACTCTAGGGAAGAATGTTGCCAGAATGGTATAAAAGGGAAATGAAGGAAGACTTGCTTCTTTTTCTGGGCTGAGATCTAGTCTTTGTCTTCATCTTGGACACTGTCTCCTTGCTTCTAGCACAGATTCTTCAGGCTCCAGCACTGAGTGCTCGGCCTTTCATCAAGCACCCTTTGGCCATTTGGTACAAACTCAGGTGGGACACTATAGTGAATTCCAGGTTTTTCCTTGATCCTTTGGGTCCAAGTACTCAAACAGACTTTTCATATCTGACTCTGTGGGTGGCCATTTTAAGCCAATCTTGTAAATTCTTATATATATTTTATATTAAATGTTTCTTTAGTAAGCACTCACTGATATATTGAAGAAGCATTTAGTATACTCAAACTAATAAGTATTATAGCTAAACCCTTGCTACATTAACATGTTTATCATCTTTATGTCAACCTGTAGCCAAGGAAAATAATCTAACATACAGCCTGTTTCATAACACAATATAAAATATCACATATAATGTGTTAAATACAGTACACTAAAGAGTACTTTTTGTTTACAATTTTTATCCAGTGATTGACAGAGCAGGGCTCACTGCTGCTGCCCAACAGCAGGAGTATTTCTGCTGTAAGCATCAGTATGCATGCATCACTGAAATATGATGGCTTTAACTACTTGCGGAAGATATCCACAAGACAAACAGCTACATTGAATGGAATAAATATTTTTAATCTTTTGAATACTCCCTACATTTTCATAGTAGTTGAACTTGTTTACATTCCCATCAACAATGTGGACTGATTTCTTTTCCCCCTGCAGCTTCATGAACATTTTTTAAAAGTTCTTAATGACAGATGCTCTTTCTGCAATAATATGCTGTTTAAATTTGCTCTTCTCTAATGCCAAAAAAGCTGAGCACTTTTTCAGATATTTTTTGGCAATTTGTACTTCTGAAAAGTGGATATTCCATTTACATTGCCTTGTTTTTCAACTGGGTCTTTTATTTTGAGATGCCTAATTTTTGAGGTTCTTTATATATTTCAGATATTCATCCTCTGAGGAGCAGCTAGTAAATTTTTTTCACATTCCAAATGTTACTTCTTCACTCTGTTGTTTGTTCAATATATGTGCAGAAGTTTTAAATTTTTATATAATCCCATTTGTTATCATCCAACTTATTTTTTATGAAAATGCCAGTAACAGTATGAAGAAAACTAATTCTTTCATGTCTCTATATTCAGAACATGGAATGTTGGGCTTATTTATCTTTTTTAGTTTATGGTTTGGTCTATGATGCAGGCTTATATACAATATAAGACTACTATACAGATATTACCATGAAAAGAATATATTCTGAGTAACAAAATCATTATTCACAATAGCAATATTTTTCTATCCCATCCTAGGTTTATGTTAACTTAAATTTATTCCTTTCCTTAAATTTAAAATGCAAATATAAAGAAAAGTATTAAATAGTTTGCTAAGACTAGTCAAGCTACCCCCCCACACACACACACACTGACTTCAAAGCCATTATCATAGTGTTTTAGCCTCTCTTGATGCTGGGACTGCAGAAATGCACCAAAACATCTGACTTGGACTTTTATACGTAAAATGAGAAGAGGACAAACACTGACATGTAATGTTTATATTGAAATAATTTTGATACTCTGGAATAAATCTAGGAGTACTAAAACACTGAGATACATCTTCAGATGTACATGTGTGTTTTGAGATAGGGTCTCACTGATTTGCCCATGTAGCCCCAATTTTGTTTTCCTCTCATCTCTGCCTCCTGACTGGGTGGAATTATAGGCATGGATCACCAGAAACAGCAAGATTTTCTGTTCATGGTAAAATGATGAAAGAGTAAATGCGCTCAGGATAAAATGCCTTGTATTTTCAACATTCCATCACTGGCTAGATTAGTAGCAACAATATAGACTATATATCTTCCTGGAGACTGTAAGAAGCAGAAGCGAGCTGCAGAGAAGTTCAATACATGCTATAGGTTAGTAGTGGTGAACCTATGGCATGCATGTCACAGTGGGCATGCAAAGCCCTCTCTGCCAGCACCCAAGTCAAGTTGCCCAAGCAGCCAAGCATTCAGGTTTAATTAAAATGTTGGCATTTTGCAATGAATAAGTGGGTTTTGGATTACAGTTTAGGTACTAGGTCTCTAAAAGGTTTCCCATCACTGTTCTGGGGTGTAAAAAGTTGAGATTCTATTCTGTACTCTATTACATTCCAGAAATTACAAAATCTTTCAGGTATAAAGTAGACATAATTTTAGATGGTACTACCCAATTGGTAATTTATATGTCTGAGCATGATTGAGGGTGGAGAAAGCTATATAATATTCACTGCATTATGGGTTTTTAATTCATTGTGTGCTTATATTTTCACATTAACATAGGTTTATAAAATTACCCCATCAGAAATAGAGCAGTTTTGTTTTTAAAAATACTGTATAAAACATGTTTCATTGCTAAATTTATTATTTCCTATTATTTATTTATTTTTGGTTTTATTTTGAGGCAGTCTCACTATGTGTTTCTGGATGGTTTTGAACTCACTAAGTAGTCCAGATTGGCCTCAGAATCCCAGCGATCCTCCTCCCTCAGCCTCTTGAGTGCTGGGATTACAAGTGTGTGCCACCATACCCAGCTTCAATATTAAAAAGAAAGGCAAAATACTAGTCAAGGAGACCAACTGGCCCTCATGCTCATAACTTGATTTTATGTGTTTAAAAGTATTTATCGTATACCTCAAACATCAGACAGTGCTATGCACAGATAATGAGAAAGGACATTGAATAAATTTAGCCGTAAAATTGGTAAAACAGAACACAATCTGAATCACGCATTGGTAAATTTCCTCTTTTTACTAAACTGACCATTTCTTTTCCTTCATGACATTATTTCACTTTAAAAAGCAATAATGATTACCAAAGGCAATGGCACTCACAATAGCAGAGAATAAAGGAATTTGCCTCATGACAACCAAAAACAATCATTCTCCCCTAAACAACTCCACTGTTGACAAAATTCCTTTGAAAATATTGTTACCAGTAAATCATACCATTATTTATACTTTTTAGAGAGATTTATTACTACAATTCATGATATCCTTTTGGAGACATGTTATGGTCCCGGTGATCTGTGGTAATCAGAATTTCACAGCAGTATAGTTTATTTTTTGGTACAAGTAGTGGAAAAATTGCCACAAAATTAAAAACCATCACAATATGCATAAAAAGTAAAATTTTGATGCTAAGGAAACATAAAATTTTAGGTAAATGGTAATACTGCCTCAAACATGAAAGCAAAATAGTCAAAATTATGTACTAGATATACCATTATGTTGGGATAATGCAGGTATCTTGCCAGGATATGAAAATAATGTTTTGCTACTTTACAAGTTGTATGAAAACAATTAATCTTTGTCAAAAACACATGTTCACAAGTTTCTCTCTCTCTCTCTGGGTCAATATATAAATATATATTACTATATCAATTTCAAACATATTTTTGTTACACCAAATATGAAATATATACACCAACAATTTAAGTCAAAGCTAGTGAGAATTCCAACAAATAAAAAATAATTAACAAAATTTACTTTTTAGTGGTTTATACTTTCCAATTGTAAAAACAAAATAAAAACTAACCCTATTTGAAAATGAAAAATGCATTTTTATCCACCCTGTTTAATTAAAAGACACTATGTATTAAGCTCAAAAACACTGAGTTACAAAAATATATAATTAGGTCAACTCACTTTTTTATAGTAAAGAATACAGATACATAGTGCAGATATTTACAAGCGATTTACTGAAAAACACAAAATGAGTATGCTCCCGTCTGGGAGTATATTTTCTAGAAAATGTTCTGGTTTCTCCCCATTGTGATTTCCTTCATGTGTTTGATATTGTGTCAGCTGAGGTTTTTCCCACATTTCTTACAGTTACTCCCCAGTGTGACTCCTTTTATGTCTGCAAAATGGAGAGCTTGCAGCAAATCTTTTCCCACACTGCCCACATACATAGGGTTTTTCCCCAGTGTGACTTCTTTCATGTATTTTACAATACTTGTGTGTACTGAATGCTTTTCCACATTGCTTACATACATAGGGTTTCTCCCCAGTGTGAATTCTTTCATGTATTTTACAATAACTGTGTGTACTAAAAGCTTTCCCACACTGCTTACATACATAGGGTTTCTCCCCAGTGTGACTTCTTTCATGTATTTTATAATAACTGTGTGTAGTGAAAGCTTTCCCACATTGCTTACATACATAGGGTTTCTCACCAGTGTGATTTCTTTCATGTAGTTTATAATAACTGGGTGCAGTGAATGCCTTCCCACACTGTTTACATACATAGGGTTTTTCACCAGTGTGGATTCTTGTATGTCTACGAAATGAGGACTTAGTAGCAAATCCTTTTCCACAGTCCTTACATATATAGGGTTTCTCACCTGTGTGAGTTCTTTCATGTATTTGACAATACTTGTGTGTAGTGAATGCTTTCCCACACTGCTTGCACACATAAGGTTTCTCCCCTGTGTGACTTCTTTCATGAATTCTACAATATTTGTATGTAGTGAATGCTTTCCCACATTGTTTGCACAAATAAGGTTTCTCCCCTGTGTGACTTCTTTCATGTATTTTATAATAACTATGTGTGCTAAATGCTTTCCCACATTCCTTACATACATAGGGCTTCTCCCCAGTGTGAGTTATTTTATGTCTACAAAATGAGGACCGATTAGAAAATCCTTTTCCACACTGCTTACATACATAGGGTTTTTCCTCAGTGTGACTTCTTTCATGTATTTTACAATAACTGTGTCTGCTGAATGTTTTCCCACATTGTTTACATGCATAGGGTTTCTCCCCAGTGTGAATACTTTCATGTATTTGACAGTGACTGTGTGTTCTGAAAGCTTTCCCACAGTGCTTACATACATAGGGCTTCTCCCCAGTGTGACTGCTTTCATGTCTTCGGCAATTACTGAGCTTCATGAATGCTTTTCCACATTGCTTACATACATAGGGTTTCTCACCAGTGTGAGTTCTTTTATGACTATACAATGAGAACTTAGTGCTGAATCCTTTCTCACATTGCTTACATTTGTAGGATTTTTCACCTGTGTGAGTACTTTCATGTATTTTACAATAACTATGTGTACTGAAGCCTTTCCCACATTGCTTACACACATAAGGTTTCTCCCCAGTGTGACTTCTTTCATGTATTTTACAATAACTATGTGTAGTGAATGCTTTCCCACAATGCTTACATACATAGGGTTTCTCCCCAGTGTGATTTCTTTCATGTATTTTACAATAACCCTGTGTAGTGAATGCTTTCCCACATTGCTTACACACATAGGGTTTCTCCCCAGTGTGAATTCTTTGATGTATTTTACAATAACTTTGTGTAGTGAATGCCTTCCCACATTGCTTACATACATAGGGTTTCTCACCTGTGTGATTTCTTTCATGTATTTTACAATTACTCTGTGTAGTGAATGCTTTCCCACACTGCTTACACACATAGGGTTTCTCCCCAGTATGACTTCTTTCATGTATTTTACAATAACTGAGTATAGTGAATGCTTTCCCACATTGCTTACATAAATAGGATTTCTCCACAGTGTGATTTCTTTCATGTATTTTACAGTAACTCTGTGTGGTGAATGCTTTCCCACATTGCTTACACACATAGGGTTTCTCCACAGTGTGATTTCTTTCATGTATTTTACAATAACTTTGCGTAGTGAATGCTTTCCCACATTGCTGACATATGTAAGGTTTCTCCCTCATGTGACTTTTTTCATGTATTTTACAATAACTCTGTGTAGTGAATGCTTTTCCACATTGCTTACATACATAGGGTTTCTCCACAGTGTGAATTCTTTTATGACTATCAAAGGAAAAATGATTAGCTAATGCTTTCACATGTTCCTTAGATATGTAAGACTTCCATCTATCATGTCTTCTTCCATGTACTTGAATATAGTATGAAGAAATAAAAGTTTTCCCACATTGTTTGTTGATATGTAGATCATTCTCACTGGGATTTCTTTCATGGATTTGTACACCATTGGGTGTGTTGGAAACTTTCAGACTTTTTTTACGTACAAAGGTCTTCTCTTCAGAGTGAGTTCTTCCACGAAGATCAGTGTAAGCTTTCCCATGTTGTTCATATTCATAGAGTTTCTCTCCAGTCTTTCCTCTTGTATGCTTCTGAAAGGACTGGAAATCACTGCTTTTTCCATCTTCATCACACTGGTATAGCTTCTCTCCAAATCCCAAATACTCATATGGTTTCAGTCCAACGTGAGCTATGATGGGCACAGTTAGTGATAAACGCTCAATCAAAGGCTTTCTATAAGCAAGGCTTTCACCTGTTTTTAAAGCAGCTTGTTGCATATCCACATTGGCATCTGGAGTCCAAAGGAATATTTCTTCTTGCTGAGTCCAAGTTTTATATTGATAGCATTGCTTTACCTCTTCACTTCTGTGAAGAAAAAAAAAATATATCAATCACAATGAAAAGGGTCTCCATATTAGTAATTTATAAGGACAAGCTTTGGTTTGATGCCTGCTAAGAAATTTTAATAGTGAAATGACTGAATGCCCTAGAAGATGCCTTCAAAACACACATTCCCAAAAGGACAGTATTCATTTGGGAATTTTTTTTGCTGGTATATGTTTGCAATACATAAGTTCTATTTTCATTTTAGGGGACTGGTACATATGTATATCACATATTGACCATTTTATATACTTTTCTCCTACTGTTTCCCACTTCTCCCCTTACTCTGACCATTTCCGTCTCCAAACAGTCGCATTCTGTCTTGTATCACTTCTCCCTTATTTTACTCCCTAATTTACATGTTTATTGCTCATATAAGAGAAAACGTGATAATTGATTTTCTGTGTCTGACTTAGTTCAGACATTATGGAATGGAGTCTCATTCATTTTTTTGGCAAATCAAATAATACGATTCTGCTTTATGGCTGAATATATAGCACATTTTTTTTTTAGTACTCAGAATTAAATGCAGGTCTTAGCATGAAATTACATCTTCATTCTTCTTTTGAGAGGAATTCTCATTGACTGTTAATTTATTCAGGCTGAACTTCAAGTTGTATTCCTGCTAACTCAGCTTCCTAGAGTGCTGGGATTACCAGAATGCATTGCCATGTTGTTTACCCCACATTTTCTTTATCCATGCATTCAATAATGTTCACCTAGGCCATTTCCAGAGTTTAGCTAGTGTTCATACCCATGCATACCCTGATTTTGCATATACTGCTTTGAGCATGGGTGTGCAGTATCACTAAAATATGATAATCTTAAATCCTTTCAGTATATACTATTGGGCATATACCTGGATAAAATGGACCTTCTATTTTCACTTTTTGAGAAATCTTTATATTGATTATCATATCATAATTGTTCCATTTTAGAGTCCCACCAACTATGTATGAGGGTGCCTTCTAAGAATTTTAAAACATGAAAGAACTCAATTCTCTGGAGGATGTTTTCAAAACATATATTATTAGAAAACTAGCACTCATTTCCATTTTGAATACTGCTTCCAGGTTAGCAATTTTTTAGATAATGAACATCTCATATTCACATACATACATACATAAACACAGTAGATATCCTAAAGATGAGTTTCTGTCAAAATTCAAAATTTATTCTTTTCACATATGCCTATATACAATACCTAAATGCAATTTCATACATTCCATGTTGCTCATGAAAGAACATTTTTATACTAATATTATCAGATAGCACCACTTATGGCATAATATCAGTACTACCTCAGTTTCCTATATTGGAGTATTTCTGTATTCAGTTATTAGATTATACATAATCAGCCTGCATGCATCTCTGGAGAACTTTTGTGGGATTAAGTAAATTTGAACATGACTTCATTTATATAGTTTCCTTGTAATATTTCTGTTCACACAGTGACTCATGAGGAATATTCCTTTTCTGTATGAGTGTAAATTACCTTAGATTTCTTGAGAAGTTTTTATACTTTTCTTCAATTTGCCAGCTGTCCCAAGTTCTTCCTGAATTGTAGACATAGAAATATAAAGATGTATTATTATATAAAAATTAGTAGATTCCAGTTAGATTCATGGGATAATGTAACCAAGCCTGAGATATTCTTAAAAATGTTTTTCCATTCTATTTAATGAAACTGCACAATGAGCAAGAACCAATGCTCTTGGTATAAATGAGAAAATGATATCACCCTTACCTATAGCAGTCACATTTATAAGTGTTTCCCACATCACATCACTGTAGAGCTTCTTTTGGGATGAATTAAGCAAAGCCCACTCCTCCACGCTGAAGTTCACAGCCACATCCTCAAAGGTCAGTGTTTCCTATATAATCACACATATGTTCACTGAAGGAACATTGACAGTCATAGCCTGAGATATCTCAACTCCTCTCATAAAAAGCAAATTAAGGCTTCAAATATTAATTCTATGTATTATATATATATATATATATAAAAAACACATATGGGCATATATATTACATATATAATATTACATATATAATACATGTATTATATATATTACACATATGGGCATATATATATACATTACATATATGGGCATATATATATATTACACATATGGGCATCTGAGGATGAATATACACTTCTCAGATGAAGTACAAACAGCAAATAAATACATGAAAAAGTGTTCAACATCACTAGTCATCTAAGAGATTCAAATTAAAACAACACTGAGAGTCCATCTCACTCCAGACTCCAGCAAGAATGGCTATTATCAAGAAATCAACCAATAACAAATACTGGAAAGGCTGTAGGGGAAAAAGAACCACTGTTGGTGGGAGTGTACACTTGTGCAACTACTGTGGAAATCAGTGTGGAGGTTTCTCAAAAAGCTAGGACTAGAGGTTCCATTTGACCGAGCTATCATTCTTGTAATCTTCCCAAAAGAATTAAAATCATTACACCATAGTAACATATGCACACCCACATTTACAGCAGCACAGTTTGTAACAGCTAGATCTTGGAAATAACCCAAAGGTCCATCAATCTACAAATGGATAAAGAAGATGTTTTTAACACAACTACTTAGCCATAAATAAGGATAAAGTTGAGACATTTCTAGCTAAATGGATGCACCTAGAGACCATACTCTTAAGTGAAATAAATCAGACACACATGTATAAATATCACATTGTTTCTCTGGTGTCAAAAACTGAAAATGTAAAGAAAGACTAAAACGCATAATAGGTATTGTGAAATAGAAAGAAAATGTTCAAATGGGAAGAGGTACAAGGTGGGTAGGGAGAAGGGGAAGGCATTTTTCCCGTTGTTCTGATCCTTTTCCCTAAGATGAAAGTGACAGGACTGTTGACCTTGTAGGTTGGGCTCTGCAAAGAGTCTCCTTAAGATATTTCAGAAATTGTGTTGGAATTACTGACAACAGCCCAGCCAGAGAACTTGGCCAAACACAGTGAAGAAGACTGCCTCCATGGAAAAGGCAATCTGCTGGCCCTCAGCAAAGAGATACAGGAAGACAGAGACAATGAGGACTGAATGGCCTACGAGACCACACCCATGTTGGGTAAGATCTCTTCTCCATAAAGGCCCAAGAAGGAAAATGTGTCAGAGAAAATCATGAATTATTTTAGACTCACACAAGGCAAGATAGAAAATTACTGTACTATTGTCACTATAATTGCCATAACTGAACACATCTCAAGTTAAACACTTCCACAGTATGACTCAGAGTCACAGAAACAGAAAAATACATAGTGGGCATAGACCATAACCATGAGCTAGAACTGAGTGTAGTGCAAGGTGAAGAACAAGAACATCTGGTTAGCCCAGGACACACAAGCAATACGAAAGTGTAGGCCCAACAGGTTGACAACCTTTGATAATGACCCTGAACACAATTTCAGAGAAGGAAAATGCAGACAAAAAGAAGTGTATGGATGTATGGTATCTGCATTCGGTACAGGCAGTACCCTAATGAGCAGATTTTCCAGCAATGTGAACAGGTTCAACAGCAGTTACAGCAGTAAGAGAGCTGGCTGGAGCTGCCATGAGAAATCCCTGAAGCCAAACAGAATAACCTGAGAAAATGTTCAACAAGCATGGCTATTGTATTTATTGAGATCTAAAACAGAATGAAGAGAAAATGGTAAAAAGTTAGGTGTGACACAGATCAAATAGCACCTAATAACTGTATGTGTGTCATTGAAGAACTTGCTAGGCATTACACCATCTTTCTTTTTTCATTCAATTACAATGGCCTTAAAAGTCACTGTGGTGTAAGTGAAAAATGAGACCAATATATTAAGTTCTTAAGCCAGATTTGTGCAGCTAATTTGGTTTTGTCAATACTGACTGCAAGGAAAGACAATCCCTCTCACTGAGGGTTCATTCTTGGAAACACATATTTGATTTGAGTGTTTTATAAAATGTATTCTCTGAGAGTGAGAGAATACATTTTCATTACTTAAATGTTTTGATTTATGTTTTTCTTTTTTTTTCTTTTAAAACTAAAAGGAGGAAAACATTAACAGACAGACAACATTTTACAAAATAGCAAAAGAACAGTACAGACAATATGGAGATTCAAACAAAGTGGTGGGAAATTAACAATGCTTGTTGTGTTACATATTGATATCTTCAAAGTGGTTTCTCATGAAAACAGATAGAGACATGTAATATTGATCAACCAAGGACTCATTGGCAGTTTCTTTCAGCAAAGAAATAGAAGACAGTTATTTTTAATCTGTATATTGAGCATCCCATCCAGACATTTTAATTCCTGCTGAATAAAAAATGAAGGGAGACAGGAGTGATGCTACATAGCTGGAAACCCAGCTTCTAGGAAGATTAAAGCCAGGGGATCATAACATGAAGGACAAAATAGGCAACTTAGCAGGAGTTTGAGTTGGCATGCGACTAGCATACAATTGCAAATATATTATATAATTTCTCTGAAAACTCAAGTAGTAAACAGCACATCTTCACTCAGATAGAAATAGTCCTATCTCAATCAATATACATATGTATGTGGTTGTAATGGCAAATTCAGCCTGAGTCAAAAATGCAATTAAAACTTGCTAATTCTAATGGTCTTAGAAACATACAGACAATAGGTATTAGATATATTTAGACTGTTTATAAAACAATAAATGAATATTTTCCCCAAAAATAAACACATTAACAAAAAAATTCTGTTAGGGCATATGAAATTTCCTTCAATTACAAAGTATAAAGTATTACATAGACTGTAATGCAGAAGCTTTTGAAATAATAGGCAAGCTACAAATTTACAATTCTGTTTGTTTTCTTTTCTTGCTGGAGGGAAAGAATATGGACTTCAGTCACACTGAGCACTTAGATTTGATGATGTAATACACTATGAATTCTGTAAAATATATGCTTAATACAACTATATTTATAGTACCAATAAAACAAACACAAATTTAACAAATAGCTACTAGAAAACCTGAAAAACAACACTGTCATTTGTTGTCAGTGTATCACTAACAGATGATAGTGTTGGTTTTCAAACCTTGAATTAAAAAAGTAGGGAGAGATATCCTTTCCCATTGTTAGGAACATCCTATTCAATTACACTTATTTAAGCCTGAAACTCAGACAATGCTTAGACACGCTAAATTTATAAGAAATATCAAAAAAATACATTTGCTTTAAACAAACTGAGGTTTAACAATGTGGGCAGTACAAATCAAAAGTGAGATGTAATTCTTCAGTCCTTTTGGATGGTAACCTGCTCAGTTTATTTGCCAAGTGAATTACACTCCAGGTAAAGTGAAGAAATGTACAAAATAAGAAAATAAAACATGGAAAAGATATAAGAAAATCTAGGAGTAAGGAAACCTTCAAAAACACAATTGCAAGGCCACACATATCAAGGTGACTTTTAAAAGATATAAAAAGTAAGCTAGGATTTCTGCTCAGCAAAGAAAATACTTTATGAAATTAACATGTAGATAGAAAAATTATGAGAAGGTATGTTGAAGGTATGTTGATTGACAAAGAAATACCCAGAACAAAAAGAAGATTTTATTTTTTTAAAAAAGAGAATACTCATCACAAATATGAGAATATCACATAAGCAGATAATTTACAGAAGGGTTTACAGAAAAAATGAAAAAGAATGCATAGAGGCATGAAAGAGAAAAAAATGAAAAGAAGCATTAAATTTCACTTTGAATCCATGACACTCATCAAATTAGAAAAAGTCTAGTGTTGGTTGGGTATGGAAAAACAGAAACTATTGCCTACTGGTGGTAGGTGGATGATGTATATCAAATTTTAAGTGGATACACACTCTGTGTACCAGCAAATAGGTTCCAAGTATCCATGGCATTTTCTCAACTCTGCTTCTAGGGCAGCAAGAAAGACAGTGTTTATTGTGGCATTTATATCAGTGACAGAACTACAGAACACTCCTCTCTGGTAACTGTGGAAGGCAAATAAGATGTGGACACAAACAGTGGAGACCTTGTCAGAAGTTAAATGCGTATACAGCAATGCAAATAAATCTGGAATATAACAGTGAGTAAATTAAGTAAAATACAGGATGAACTCTCTAACACACTCCTATTTGGGTGCACTAAACTACATACATAAAATACTAAATAACTCATGTACTTTACTGAATACAGTACACTGTAAATCACTGGTTGCTCACCATTGGCATCCTGTGTCTGACGAGCAGTGACTCATTACTGCTATCCACCATCATAAGGAAATATTGTATGATGTACCATTAGTGTGAAAAATGAATGAATTTCAAAATTAAAACTCAGATTTGCAGTAAATAACTTTTCTTTTTCTATTCACTGCTAGAGCCTTAACTCAGGGCCTTATGCACATTAGACAAGTTAGTTTACAGTGGAGGTACATCCCAAAACATTTATTTCACATTGAAATAGTCTTGCTCAGTTATCCAAGTTGGGCTTGGTGCCGCATTACTCCTGTCTCAGTCTCCCAAGTGGCTGCCATTAAAGGTGTGCACCACCACACCTCAGGAATGTTTGCTTAACCCAAGCACTGAAATTTTGGTGAATCATGGTGATTTCAGAAGCCTTATCTTATTTTAAAGGGAATTGAAAAAAAAAAGAAAAATAGCAAAATGCCAACAACATAGACAAAATCAAAGCAAAGCAAAAACAATAAGAATGATACAGGGTTTCAGAACAAAATGATAAGGATTAACAGTGGTTGTTATATGACATATTTTTATCTTCATCGGAGTTGGTCAGATTACCAGATGTAAGAATGCAAGATTAATCGAATCTTAAACCAGCGAGGCAGCACATGTCTGTCATCCCAAGTCGAAGAGGTGGAAACAGTATCAAAAGTTCTTCCCAGCCTGAGCAACTTAGTAAGTCTTGGTCTCAAGAATTAAATAAATAAATAAATAAATAAATAAATATTGGGGGGGTATGTAGCTTGAGCAAAATTCCTCAGTGCAGTCCTTGTACAATAAAAAGCATCAAACACACCTGCGCAGCTTGTGTATCCAGTGGAAATCCCTTCTCATTCTAACTCAGTGATGATCTTCACCGTTTTTAAACCTACAAGACCAGCTTTCAAATTTCTAATTTTGTCTCAAAACTGAGTACATGAGCTGATCATTAGTTAGACAAGAAATATTTATGTTACAAACTTCCCCTCCTTTCTTTAAGCCTGTGACCTTTGACCCATTCTCAGACCAAGCCACCAGACAATCCTTCATTTACTGTCACACTAACAACAATCAGCCTTCAACAGAGGGAGATTACTGTTGTAGTTGCTGATTTTTGCCACCCTCCAAAATCCCCTGCTCTCCCATTTCCATTTTATTCCCCTTTACTCTTGCCTATTCAAAAAAATCATTCTATTCCTGTTCATTCTTAGGCCCACAAACCTTAACTACGGGAATTTACCCCTCCTTCAGTACTTGTTTTATACAAAGCCCATGTCGATCGGTGTTTCAATTTTTAAAAAGATGTCTGGAAACAGTCCAAGGACTACAGCAATTATTTTAGAGATGACACCTCTTTCCCTTTCCACTCATAGTAACATTCCATATCTACATCCCTTGTAGATACCCCAGTTGAATGCTTCCCACTGTGGGTTTATCAGGCAGCCGCTACAAGGAGTCATTCATAGCGGGAATACTTTCCCTTCCTTTGGTAATACATTAACATTCCCTTCATTTTTCTCAGCATTCTAAAAATCCATGGAAAGCCTCATTTAAATAGTCTAATTGCAAACAACATTTTATTTAGTTACCTTATAAATAAGGCACCTAGCTAGGGAAAGGGCTTGAGATAAAATTAGTCACTTTAACAAGATTTAAAATGAGACTAGACAATCGCCTAAGACTTTGGACAAAGAATGAACTTTCTGCACAACAAGAAATGCAGCCAGCCTCCCACCTGAAAGGAGTTGCAGCCGCTCTCTACTAAGCTCCCAAGTTTCCAGGAACTTAAAATACAGAAAATAACCAGTTTTTCTTTAAAATCCAGTTTCCTTTAAACCCTGCATGCTAAGGAAGTGGGTTAGAAAGCCTGAATTCAAAGAGGTTGTTTTGGGTTTGGGGATATTAGTCAGTGGCATAAGCGCCTGCTTAACAAGCGCAAGGTCGTGAGTTCGATCCCCAGAACCACAAAAACAAACAAAAAACCAAAGTGGTTGTTTTAAATACAGAGCCACCTGTGATAAATGGCCACTAAAAAACTGAGCAATTACTGTGCTCTGCTTACTGTACTTCTAAGAGTAGCCACATGGCCACCTACTCGGGATGCTTCCTGAAAATTAGGGCGCTGTTTTTTTTTTTTCCCATAAAATCTCCCCGAACATCCTCTTGGTTCGTGACCAAAGTATTCCTCAATACTGTGAGGCCACGAGTTCTGTTCATGCGGTATAATCTTTCTGCGTAGACGTCTCGCGTAAATAAAGTGATAATTTTTTCCATTCCTGAGAATGGAATCCTGGGTTTCTCCAAAGCCCCTGCTCTCCGCAGACTGGTGGAGATACAGCTGTCCCTGGGGCCACCCAAGAAGACATTCTGAGCTGGCAGTGTCACGGTGGGGACAGGACGCTGGGGACCCAGAGCCGTTCCAGCCCGAGCGAAGGGAAAAAGGGACAGATGATAACGCCGCACCAAACACTTGGAAGACCTCGGAGTCTGGCGCTAAGCAGGGAGGGTGTAAGTTGCCACAGCTGGTTCTGGCCACTTCCAGAACTCACCCGATTCCATCCCCTTCCCAGCTCCCGTCCCACAACGTCACCATTGCGTGGCTCGAGGGTCTCCCAGGATCCTTCAAATGCAGCCTGAAGCCAGTAGAAGTTACAGAAAAGGGTGGTCTAGTCAGCTGGGGACTGTCAGCAATGCATTGAAGGTGTACCCTTGGCGCCATGACACAGGAAGAGCCCTCCTCCCTCAGCCTACCTGATTGGATAGTTCGTTCATACAGCCTGCCCCTCCATCGCTGATTGGCTCCTGCTCCTTTGGCTGAGGCTGAGCTGACTGACAAGAGAAACCTTTACAGAAATATGTGGAGCTCAAATGATAGATTGTAACCAGGAATTTCTGGACCAGTCTCTCTCTGTGATGTCAATCTCACCTCACCTGAGGAATACTTTTCATTTTGAAGGCTTTACTTCTGACTTGTCAGAGTTGCCCTGGTTTTCTTAATGAACTCAGTTGACTCTACCTGAAAATGGGTCGCAATTGTGTTGAGAAGATTTCAGGGTCAATGTCTTAAGTAAGAATCAATTCTCTGATGTCAGAAAAATCAGTCCAGTCCAGGTCAGGACAAAATGGAATAGGAGGCCCTGCTTTGGGGAATGAGGCAGTAGGCTTCAGTGCCAAGATTTTCTCACAATCTACTCATTTTCAACCAAGAAAATGGATATAGGGCCCCCAGAGAGGAATGCAATTATTGTGTAAATGAGTAAATTAGAGGGTTGTTTTTGTTTTTTTTTTTCCCCCGGGGTACCGGGAATCAAACTTACAACCTTGCACTTGCCAGGCAGGCACTGTACTGCTGAGCTAAATCCCCAGCCCCAGCAAATTAGAGTTAAATACCAGTATTCTGTAAGAGTAAAGATGAAAAAAAAATCAAAAATTCTAGTTCCCTCAGACAAGTACCATAGCTTATCCAGGGTCATAAAGACATGTAAATTCTGAAAATAAACATAGCACCGGGCATGAGGGCCAGAATGATTGCTGAAGCAGAGTCCTACACTTGAAGCACTTGATCTCTTCCTGGGGATGATGCCGGGATAAAAAGTACTATACACTGTAAGTTTCCAATGCCCTACAGTTTCCCACCACCCCACTTTTATGTTGAAATTCGCTACCTTTTAAAATTAATATTCCTAGAGGGGAAATATTAGATAGAGTACATTATACACTTTTTTAATAACTTGTTTGTTTAGAGAGATGTACAGAATATTAGTAAAGCACACTTCTAGGTGTGTCTGGTGTAGCCATGATAGTGTGACCTTGGGGCCCCCGTCCCTTTCCTCTCAGGCGCTCTCCTTGCTTTCTCATTCCGGGCTCTCATAAAGGAATTATCCTTTTGTTCATTTGTACTTCCCATGATGTTTCTTCGCTAAAAGCAGTCAAACAAGACCACAATGTCTGACATAATGAGACAAAATAAACCTTTTCTCTTCAGTTTTATATGTCAGGTATTTTCCCCTGTAAAAATAGCAACAACAAAAACACTAATACAAATCATGGCAGGTAACCTTTTTTTCTTATTTTATGGGAAAAATTAAAAGAAAATTTCATGACATAATAATAGAATAACAGTAGTTAATATATTACATATTATTATCTTTAAAGTAGTTAGAGTATAAAATATGGGCATAAAAAATTCTTCAATTCATATTAATACAAAGCTGCTATTTTAATGAACTAAGAGACACTAGTAGTATAACTAACTTGAATTTTTTCCTTTTTCTTTCCTTCCTTTCCCCTTCCCCCAATCCCAATTCTTTTTTCTTCTTGAATAATTTCTAACCATTTCTCAATATCTATTGTACATTTTAGACCTTATTTACTCTTTCAGTTTCTCACATCAGGGAGATAATATAATGTTTACACGTGAGTCTGATTTATTTCACTTATGAGGTTTTGAGTTGCATCAATTTACTTATAAAAGTCTCAAGTTTATCCTTCTTTATGGCTGAATAATACTCGATTGTACAACCTCTTTATCATTTCCTCAATTGATAGGCATTTGGATTGTTTCCAAGATTCAGCTATTATAAATAGTGCAGCTATAAACATAGGTGCACATATATCACTGTAATATGATGTTTTTAATTCTACTGGGAATATACCCAAAAAGGGAATAGCAGGATTGAATGGAAACTCTAACCCTAGCTTCTGGAGGAATCTCCATAATGATTTCCACAGTAGTTGCACCACTCTACACTCACCAACAATGGACAAGGGTTTCCCTCAGCCCGTCTAACATTTGTTATTGGTTGATTCCTTGATGATAGCCATCTTTCTGGGGTGAGATGGAATGTCAGTGTTGTTTTAACTTGCATTTCTCAGATGACAAAAGGTGTTGAACATTTTTTCATATATTTACTTGCCATTTGTATTTCTTCCTCTGAGAAGTATGTACTCATTTTGGGTGCCCAGTTTTGGACTGGGTCTTTGAATTCAGGGGGTCTGAAGTTTTTCACTTCTTTATGTTTTCTAGATAAAAGTCCTTTGTCTAAGGGAAAATTGGTTAAATTTTTTTCCCACACTGTGCGTTGTCTTTTCACTCTGTTAGTGACATCTTTTGATGTACAGAGGTTTTTAATAAGATGGGGCCAAACAGCTGGTGTTACCAGTTGTTGATTCTCTGGCTTATTTCCCATGCAGTCTGGGTTGGGTTCATGAAGTCTCTGTCTACCCCTATGTCTTTATGATTTCTATCTACTTTCTCTTCCAGTAGATTTAGTGTTTCTGTTTCAATATCTGTATTTGTACCAGGAATCAAATTCAGCACCTTGTGCTTACCAGGCAGCACTGTGCCATGGAGCTATATAAGGATGCTGTTTTAATACTTAGACCTTTGATCCATTTTAGTGCACGATGATAGATATTGGGCTAGTTTTAGTCTTGAGCATATAGAAAGCCAGTTTTTCCAGCACTATTATAAAAAGGCTACATTTCTTTCAGTAAACATGTTTGGCCCCTTTGTCAAAGATAAGGTAGCAGAGTGTGTTTGTAGTTGTCTCTTCATCTTCTACTCTGTTCCACTCATCCTCAGGTCTGTCTTTTTTTTTTTTTTTTTGCCAATACAATGCTTATTTTATCACAGTAGCTTTGTAGTATAATTTTAAGTCAGAGATTGTGATGGCCCTGCCTTGCGTTTGTTCCCCAGAATTGCTTTTGCTATTCTAGGTCTCTTCTATTTCCAAAATGAATTTTAGGAATGTTTTCTCTTGTTCTGTGAGGTATGCTAATGGTATTTTGATCAAGATTATATTACATCTATATAATCATTTTGCAAGTATGGCCATTTTCACTATGTTGGTTCTTCCTACCCATGAGCAAGGGATATCTTTCCACTTTCTGATATCCTCTTTGATCTCCTTTTTCTGAATATTGTAATTTTCAATTTATAGATCTTCTACTTCTTTTTTTAGAATGATTCCTAAGTGTTCCATTTTTGGGATGCTATGGTAAAGATTGGATTCCTTAATTTCTCTCTTAGTGAATTTGTTGTTTGTGTATAAGAATGCTATTGATCTTTGAGTGTTAACTTGTATCCAGCTACAAAATGGAATTTGATTATGAAATCTAAAAGTCTTTTGGTGGAGTTTCTGGGGTCTTCTATGTAGAGTATCATGTCATATACAAATAATTATAATTTAACTTCTTCCTTTCCTGTCTTTATTTATTTTATTTCTCTCTCTTGTCTAATTTCTCTGACTAATGTTTCCAGAACTGTCTCGAATAGGAGTGGTGATAGTGCACATCCTTGCCTTGTTCTTGACTTTAGAGTGAAAGTTTTCAGTTTTTGTCCATTTAACATGAAGCTGGATATAAGGCTGACCTTGACCTCCTTCCAGAAGTGGGAGCCTGAGGCCAGGGTCTTCAGCCAGTACTTTTTGTATATCTCTTACTTGCCTACCCACTCCTTACCCTGTTTCTGTCAGCATCTCTTCCAGTTTCCGTGCCACTTTCCGACAAGGACAGGAGGCTGCTCCCAGTCCCGTATACAGTTGACCCCTTCTGGTCCTTGCTCAGCCTTCTGAGAAATATAACACTCCTCTTCCACTGGCAAGTCTCTGTCCTTACAGGTCATTTGTTGCAGGTGGGGTGGGAGGAGGTGATGTTTCCTGACATTCTGTTCTTGCAGGTATCACCCAAAGTCGAAGGCTCCTCAGTCCCAATTCTGACTCCCCTCCCAAGGGGGGAGTGCTAACTTCCCACTCATTTCTTTGGCAAAGCCACTGTCACCTCCACTGCAATCTGTAACTTCACTGGGTGAGGTGCTGTGGGGTGCCTTTCTGCTCCTGCTCTCAGCGTTGGGACAGCCCCAGGCTTCACAGTCTCATAGTGCAAGGCTGCTTAATTCTTGCACCTCTCTAGCCATAGGTCATGAGGGAAGGATTTTCTGTTCCACTTACTACACACCCCTGTAGTCTTTAATCTTGTCCCTAGAGGTTCCAGTTAGCACTCTGATGCATAAAAGGAAAGGGAAGAACAGAAAAGAAACCCGGCCCATCATCAGGGAGGGAGCAGTTCACTCACTCCTGTGTTTGCTGGCAGAATTTACTGCTGGGCTACAGTGTCCTGTTTTGAGGAAGGCAAAAAAGGCAGGGAGACTTATCTCTGAGTTTATTCTGTGTGGCTTGGTTTAATCACACTATTTTAGTATATCCATTTTTTTTTCTTCTTTTAACTTTCCTAGAAAAGTAGGAATTTGCCTGTGATCCAACGATCCACTGGCAACTGGGTGGGCTGGCTGATCATAGTGCTTTATCTATGTTTTGCTTGATCTGTGAGTCTTATTTCAGATTGGTTTTGATTTTAGGATTCATGTCCCTCTTCTCTCTTTCAATTACCTGTGTTTTTAGTTGAATTTCTCTGAGTAGCTCTGAATGAGGCTCCTCTTCTATTCAGCCAAGTTGTCTCTTTCCTGATGACTCACTTTTGACCTCAAAACTTGAAAATCTGGTTTTTCATGTGCCATTGTACTGAACTGGGCTACTTCTACCAGAAAAATCAAAAGAAAATATTTTAAACAAACCCCAAAATGGCATGGGTCTATTGGGTAAACATATGGAAAACCAGTTAGCCAAGCACAAGGTGAGGGAAAATCCCGTTTTGCCACTTTTGCACATGTTCACACACCTTGC